GTGTGTGTGTGTGTGTGTGTGTGTGTGTGTGTGTGTGTGTGTGTGTGAGTCTGTGTGTGTGTGTGTGTGTGTGTGTGCGTGTGTGTGTCAGGCTCTGAGAGCGTCTGACATTAATCTATGAAATTAGACAGCAGTTGCATCCCAAACACTCACCGTCTCCCTCACATATCTGGCAGAATAAATAAGTATTAGGTTGATGATGGTAAATAATAAGATGAAGGCATGAGGGGGAGGACTCTGGCCTCATTAACAAAGGCTGGCTCTCCACCGTTCATCAGACGGAAAACAGGATATCACTGAACAAGTGTTTGAAGTGTTCTGAAAGAGCTGCTGAACACACCTGAGTGCTGGGTGTTCAGCCTCCCTGATTGATGGGATTTGCTGAGACAGGTCTATCTGTTGAGTCACTGCAGGAGTCTGTGCTGTTGCCCTGCTATTGACCAGAGTGACACCGGTAACCATGGTGACCATCAACAAAACGGATGCTGCTGACGTCTCGAAATGTTTTGGGGACTTTTACTTTTTCCAAAGTCCCATTACAGCCCTCATATTGAGAAACATTATAAAGAACAAGAAGCTAAAAGGCCTGGGATGGACTGGGAATCTTTCAGAGTTTTCATTTAGGGATTTTCTGTCTTTTTCCCCCTATTTTCAGTCCAGGTATGTGTTTTTTTTTCTTTTTTAAGCCACTTAACTCTGACCTACGAATCATTCAGGCAGAAAAAAGACACCTAACTCAAGGGATGAGCCAGTGATTTGTCTACACACAACAGGCAACTTAGCACAGGAGCAGTTTTAAGTTGGACCTTTGGGCTCTTTGTTGGTAGCAGAGAGGCATCATCTGTTCCTATTTCTTCAGTTGATATTTAAAAAAGGCCAAAGATAAGAGGAATCCTCTCCAGAGCCCGGAGCTCCAGATTATGGAAGCAGTGTGGAATCATCTTATGGAGAATGAAACAAAAGGCGGCACACATCCAAAGAAGAGCCATTAAGGGACCATTTTGGGCCACAAATAAGATTAAAAACATGCCGTTTAAAGAAGGTGATCATAATGTGGTGACTGAGGAAGAAAGATAGGCAGAGGATTTCCAGTTTGTCCCCAAATGTGCTGAAAAAACAATTTCCCTCACAAAAAGATTGGGAGGCTTTTGGATATTTTCCCCCCAACAGGACAGAATCAGTGTCTAATTGAAAAGACGGCAGGCCTCAACTGGACACGACGTTTTCTGACCCCTCAGGTGGCTGAATCCATAAACGTTCACAGAGATTTTACAGCAACATTTGCTGCCTTCAAGGACCCGCATTTTCCAGGAATTCACATATTCGGTACACAGTCTAAGGCTGAGGAAGAAGAGAGGATGGGTTAAGTGTTAGGAGGAAGAGAACACCTTTAAGTCTTCATCACTTTATCCTCATTGTCAGAAGAGTCAGAAAAAAATTCTGTGACATTTTTTACATGCTTGATTTCAAATAGTCTGCAATGAAACTCAAACCAAATGTGTAAAAACTGAATCTTTTGTCGAGATTTCCTAAGTCCTTCCAAAAAATCCCATCATCTTTAAGAGTGGATTAAGTTTTTCACCACTTTTTACAATCCCTCAACGCCCGTTTTCAGTGTGAGGAAATGAACTCATTTTATTTCTTACTTGGACAGATCCATTCACAACATCCCTTATCTCATCTAGGATTTTATAAAACATGATGTGGACTGCAACCATGGTTCTCCTCCCACCATGTTTGAGCTGGAGATGACAGACAGAGCCATTTGGAGTAATAATTATCAGTCGGTGTACATTTGTTTTAAAAGGCTGTGAAGCTGCAGCTGCTCTCGGTTTGAGTCACATGGCTCTCTCTCTCTGACTGAATCTCTCCTCATATTGAGGTCAGTCTGTGTTTTTTTGTCTTGTAGCCTGCAGAGACCCATTCTTCCACTTCGCTGCCTCTTTTCCAGCTCTCCCTCCTCCATCCCTCTCTCCCCGCCTCCACTGGGAGGAGAGCACGGCTGCTCGTCCCACTGAAGGCTGTCAGTTAATCACTGCTGTTGTCAGACAATCTGCTGTTTGGGCTGGGTTTGTTTTGACCCAGTGGGTTTTCCGTCACAGCTTCAGATCCAGTTCACTGCCGACACAAACCGGCCTCCTTCCTCTCACTAACACTTTAACTGGCACTTTACCGTTTATTCCTCCAGAACCTGCTTTCACAATAAATAGCGGATGTAAGTTATGTTACAAAAATATGTTTTATGTGGAGTTTCGTGTGTTTTTCTGACTCAAATGATTGTTTATTTTCTATGATAATGTTATCTTCAGACTTTAGCATCTTTTGGATTATTTTATGGATGAAACTTTATTTGTAAGAGCTGATTTTGTTTGTCTGTCCATAGCTTTAAGGTGTTCCATGAAAGATTCCTGTGCAGAAACATACGGCTGTACAGGAATACATTTTAATCTTTGAAACATCAGTATGCTTCACCATTGTTTATTGTCTATTTCAGCAGTAAGTTTTGCAAATTCACAACAGAAACTTTAATGGAAAGTGATAAACCATGATGGTCCTTCATGTGCTGCTTTTAATGTATGA